GCTCCTGGACTGAGAGCAGAGTGGAGCTGTGATCAGGGTGTAGAGTCATTTTTCAGTCTGTTGCTCTTGTTGACAGGATCTCTAGGATATCTACGAGTTAGTTACAGTCAGCTAAAGTTATTCATTCTGAGCTACCACAGTGAGATCTAAACGATTTAAGCAACTTTTTAGTCAAACAAACAAAACAAGCACGTATCCCCCATCCCAACATTCAACACGGGGTGTTGTAACTTCACATTCTCTATGGGCTGAATAGTACCCCCTGCCCTCCCAAAGGGGATAAGGGGAGCACTGGCACTTTTTCTCCCCACTTCAATCACATGCTAAATGCTAACATAAGCATGCTAACATGCAGTTGTTTAGCAGGTGTAATGTTTTTAGTGTTCAGCATCTTAATTTGTTTAGCTTGCTAGCATTTGCTAATTAGCATGAATCCATTATCCTCTTATGCCTGAATAGGATCACGGGGGTACTGGAGCCAATCCCAGCTGACATTGTGCGAGAGGTGGGGTCCACCCTGGACAGGTCTCCAGTCTGTCACAGGGCTGACATGTAGACAAACAACCACACACACACACACACACTCTCCCACGGGCAATTTAGAGGCACCAGTCAACCTAAACTGCATGTCTTTGGATTGTGGGAGGAAGCCGGAGTACCCGGAGAAAACCCACGCAGGGACAGGGAGAACATGCAGACTCCACACAGAGAGGCCCTGAGTCGGCCCGGGCTCAAAACCAGACCCTTCTTGCAGTGAGGGGACACCGCTAACTGCTGTGCTTCCCACTGTTAATTAGCACTAAATGTAAAATACAGCTAGTGCTGATAGAGATTGCGTTTTTGGTCACGAACCATAAACATTCATCCTCTTGGAGCCATAAATATCTGTACAAAATTGTATTTTAGTTCATATAATTGTTGAGATGTTTTGCAACTTTAATGACAAACTGCAGAAAAGTATGATGATAATCTGTTTATGTATCACTTCAGGTTATTTGCTGTATATGTTAACACAAACACTGACCCTAGAACTCCAAGCTTGTTGAACACAATCAACTGTTAAGGTGAACCACAGCTGAAAAGCATGGTGGGTTTAAAGGGTAACCAGTGGAAACTGAGCTCTGTTCAAATTGTTTTTGCTGCGTTCTTTATTAATGAGGATCTATTGAAGTGTGTTATTCTGTAAATATCTGACAGCTGTGTGTGCATGGCTTTCTTCCTTCTGCCTCCTGAACAAACAGCTGGAGGACTGACCAGCCACCTCCCCTCTGGTGGTGGTCAGCATTTTACTATCTTTAAAGCCCTAATCCTCAACTTTACAGTGTCTGTCCTGCACTTTTCAAAGTCTGGCCATGTCCACACTACAGCAGATAACTTTGAAAATGCTGTTTACGTATGAAAATTTATGTCCACTCTAGCATTTTCTTTTTTGAAAAGTTGTCCATCAACACTGAAACTTGTAAGGCGATGTCAAAGCTGAGCTTTATGTCATCTCGAACGGGATGGGAAGGTTTATCCATTCTGATGAGTTGTATCAAAAAACTCTGTTTGGCGAGCAAGATGTGTTTTCCTATTTTGTTGGCCTAGTTGGAGGAATATTTCATCATGGTTTAAATCAGCAAACGTTCATTAACTGACCTTGCTAAAATAGCTTCCATTACTTTAGCAGTGAAAACCATTATGTTATGACATGTATGACATTTTTAAACTGTAATTGTTATTGTAGTTGATATTATGTGTCCTGGAAAACCGAATATAAAGATGATGCTGTGGTATTAAAATATAGCCAGTTGTATATTTTTATTTATATTGGTGTTATTTTTCACAGTACACCAGATCGTTTCTCATCAGGTTCAGTGCTTTTACACATTTGTTTTTTACTAAATAGTAGTAAAGTTTGGAAACAGGACAGGAGCACTGCTACCGTTACATCAGTCAGACATAGAGTAGTGCTCTGAAAACGTCCCTCAGTAAAACCAATACTAATGAAACTTTAAGATGGTACGTTTCGGGTCAGGTGGGGTTTCATCATGTCACTGCTCCTGCTCAAAGGTAAATCCAGCAGTGTCACTGAATGTCTACTGTGTCTGTGTGATAATGTTTATGCATGTGACATGACTGACAGTTGGCTACCATCTACTTCAGCAAGGCCCCCCTTTTCACTGATTACTGTGTCAGTGTGTCTGTATCACACACACACACACACACACACACACACGCAGGTGCACAAAGCGAGAAAAGCCCACTGTGGATCTCCCATCAGGCCAAGCAGCGAGAAGACACACAAAACAGATGTAGCAAATGTGTCCACTCTCATGCATATGGAAATGCTAATGTGTGTGTATAATATAAATGAGTGTATGGTGTATACTGTATGTGTGTATGTGAATGGACAGCTTCAGTGCGAAACACATTAGCATTCGGTGGTGATGCTGGTCTTTGTAAAGATGGTGCCAGTGGAATCTCTCTCTCTCCCTCTCTCTCCAGTTTTTCAACATGCTATCACATTCCCCGGCCTCTGCGGATGGGTTTATAATTAAATGTGCTCCAGCTCTCTAATATGAGTGGTATTTCTGTGATTTAGACTATATGGCACAGATTGATCAGATAAAGAGCCAAAGTCATTTTTCTTTGCTGCTAAGCCTATTCACACTGAGAGCACTGATCCTCTCTCCGCCTGTCTCCCTGTCATCCTCTCCCTCTGTCTCTGCCTCTGTTTGTCTCCAGCTCTTCAAATCTTCTTCAAGCACTTGTACCGGGCTAGTTTTCTTTCCTCTATTTCACCCTGATTAGTACTGCTCTCTGGTCACCGCTGTGCTTCTGCGTTGCACTTCCGGAGATCACCTGTAAAAAACTTCGTCTTCGGATGCTTCAGTGTAGATTTAATTCTTTTCATTGAGGCAGTACAGTAGTCGTGTATGTGAAAGGTCTTTCTCATGATTTTCAGTAGCTGTTGGAATTTCTAGGGGGTGCTCTTTTGATTTTCTGTTCAGCCTTCAGGGAGGCTTTCACTGCTTTATTCTAGAACAGTTAAATGCATCACTTGTCTGCTGGGCATCAAGTGTTTTGCAGCGAAGGAAAATAGATTCCATGACTTGATGGAAGTTCAGCAAATAGGAATGTGTTTATTGTTTCTTTTAAAAGCTGTTATAAAACCATCTCTGTTGATTGTGTGAAGAAACTGAATAACTAACTATTTATATTGCATTTCATATTTGCAAGGACATGGAGAGAAACTGATTTAGTTCAAACAAAAGTAAAAAGGTTTTTTTTTCCTCTTGAATCCAGGTTTTTCAAGAAGTGGTGCTTGTAGCAAACAGTCCTATATTAGGAATAAAAAGCCTGCAGGGATTTTTTTTTCTTTTGCATCTCAAAAGCCCCATGCAGTTTTTTTGTAAGTGTGCATTTATCTTTTGATATGAACAAATTTAGTACACGGTCCTGTCAGATATCTGACTGATTTTTGCTTTTTTATGTTCCCTCTGTCACGAAGGCTGTTGTGAAATGTGAGGCCTTGTTCTTAATCCACTGTATGTGTGTTGATACACGCATGCTGGGGGATAATGGTTACAGAAGGAAGCTGATTCATTGTGGGAGTTGAAATGGGATTCTTTGCTGTCTTCTCCTCACCTTTCTTGTCCATTATTCCCCTCCTTTATCCTCTCTCTCCTCTCTGCCCTTCTCTCCTTCCCTGCATTCATTTCTCTCCTCCTCACCCCTCATCCCTTCATCTAGTGCCCCTATCTTCTCCTGCTGC